GAGCAATCTCCTAGATAGCTACAGAGGGCAATCTCCTAGATAGCTACAGAGAGCAATCTCCTAGATAGCTACAGAGAGCAATGTTCTAGATAGCTACAGAGAGCAATCTCCTAGATAGCTACAGAGAGCAATCTTTTAGGTAACTACAGAGAACAATCTTCTAGATAGCTACAGAGAGCAATCTTCTAGATAGCTACAGCGAGCAATCTTCTAGATAGCTACAGATAGAAATCTTCTAGATAGCTACAGAGAGCAATCTTCTAGATAGCTACAGAGAGCAATCTTCTGATAGCTACAGAGAGCAATCTTCTAGATAGCTACAGAGAGCAATGAAAAATCAACGATCTCGATAGATCCACATGTCATGAACGGAGGGAATTTCCAAATCCTATATGTATTTCTCATATTTTAAAAGAATACAGTATAAAGTATTCATCCACTATATTAAATACTGAACATGATATGTCTACCATTAATTTCTTTGTATTTGCTTTTTTTTTTAGTTCTTAATGCTGTCGTTCACTATTAAAAGGCAGACTGTTGGTTTATTTTTCAACTTTGTGGATGATGTACATATATAATATAAGTAAAACTGTATGATGTACATGTATTATATAAGTTATACTGTATGATGTGCATGTATAATATAAGTTATAAAAATACTGTATGATGTACATGTATGATATAAGTTATACTGCATGATTATTTTTCGACAAGAGGAAAAGTTGCTAACGAATATGATCTCGATCAGATTTCAGATACAAAAGAGAAGCATCGTCAACCAATATGACTTTGTTGCAAATCATTTTACAATTAAATTTGATAAAAAATACATTTTTATAATTACAAAAGTGACTCGTTGACGCTTTTTATATTAGCTTTATCAATGCATTTATGCAAGGTTTGCAAAAGGCGCGTAAACTGCGCATTTGTTCAATAATAACCATTACAGGAAAACCAAATATGTCCATCCCTCTTTAAATGTTCTAAAAATAAATTGTTTAAAATAAAGATTATTGTGTCGTTCCTTACATCCTTTTAAAAAGCTACAGATTATAAAAACCTTGGATTTCTAACATTAGACATTTCTCAAGTAGAAACATTGTTAATCGGTAATTCGATTAGATTACCATATGTTAATGCTAACATATAATTTTCTCGTAACTACAGTTTTCCTTACATGCTCTGTTTTTCATCAGGATATAACTGTACTTTGTAAGTATTTGTTTGCTTATCCAAAAAAAAAAATAATAATAAAATATAATAATGATAATTTGATGCAAAATTGCTGAAGAGAACATTAAGTAAACATCTCTTCATACATTTCTTTCTTTAAAAAATTCTGTTATCTTTGATTTTTCAGTTTATTACAATTAGACAAAGTATGAAGTAGCGATCAGTATTCAAGCTCAAAACCAATTTAAACAATAAAAAATCAGAAACAGATCAAATGTTTATCTTATGACTTAAAGAGACTGTTTATATCCTTGTTTTCTCAACTTTTTTGTCAATAGCTTGCCTCGTTTTAAAATTGTATGTATGGCATCCTCTTGCATAAAATACTAAGTTTCATGCAATGAATTAACAGTTGCAGAACGATTTTGTTCTCATTTACATAGAGGTCAAGATTACTGATATTGTGTTTCGGTTATGTAAAATTCTATTTCCTTACAACTTCATGTACGTGTATCATGGTAAACATTATCAGAAAAAAAATTGCTTATGAATACTGTTTTATATTTTTGTTTTGTTTCCGACTTTTGTTTCCTTTTGTTTGCACTTTTTTGATTAAATGAGCATATTAAATTTAAAAGAAACAGGATAGTAACGAGAAACAGCTTGATGGGAAGTGCTCTAATCTTTACAAAAGGATCAGTGAACTTTGCGACGATCTGTCACTTATAAAAGAGTGCATTTCTGAACACTGACAATTTCTTAAATTCTATTAGTATAATCGATGTGAATACAGTAAGAAATATATAAGTAAAACATATTTTTTGTAATAACACACCGCAATTAAGATTTGGTTTACAGTTAAAGATTATAAACTATTCACATTTTTATTCCTACACAGCACAAGACCTGAATTATGAAATGTCTGTGTATTCCCCATTCTCCATGGTTAACCCGGGTGAAGATTTTCCGGCGATTTGTCAAATATCAGGTTTTGATGCAATCACCATTGTTAACGATCTGGACGTCAAATGGTTCCACAACAAAAAACAAATAACCACCTTGTGTCAACTGGAGGATATCTTCTCATACAAGTATGAATGTAATGAGAATTCCAAGGGAATGAAAAACATCAGTTTTGTTCTCTATGTAGGAAGTAAGTAACAAATTCATAGTGGTTGTATCACTCAATACATCAATGAAATACCGATTTCAAGGTCAAAAGATCATACATGTAAATGTTCGTACTTTAAACATAGGGTTTGTCATACAAAATACTCACGTGAAATATATGGATGTCTTAGATTTATTCAGTTAAAAAATAAAGCAAGATTGGAGCTAAAAGGGACATACAGATACTATACATTTATCCACTGCTTATGAGTCAGGTCCCGTGAGTGGGATAGTTCTGTTACAACGCAAAATGTAATAACAACGCGAAATGTAATAAACCTGGATTATTACATTTTGCGTTTTTACATTTTGCGTCGAGATCAACGCAAAATGTAATAACGCAAAATGTAATAACACGATTTTTGGATTATCACATTTTGCGTCGAGATCAACGCAAAGTGTAATAACGTGCTTTTTCGTTGTTACATTTAGCGTTCTTTTATTTTTGCACTGAAGACAACGCAAAATGTAATAAAACAATATGTAATAAAACAAAATATAATTATTTTTTTTTGATTGCGTTTAACAAAACAGATCATAAAATTGATTCAAATATAAACATGTAACCAACATAGGAAACACGCTGTACAAAATATTTAGAACTAAAACAATGAGACCAACGTTTGGGTTTTTACGGACATAAATACATCTAAATGTATCGTCTTTTCTGACTCTGACTTTAGTTATATTGAATACACTTTTACTTAATTATAAAGCATTAATTTAACTTTAATTGGCATACTTTTGATCGTCTTATTAAATTTCTAACCAATAATACATATCTAATTACCAAAGATTGACCATAGGTTCATGAAAAGCTCTTGATATGCATGTTCCGCATGTGTACATTGGTTAACAAATTAGAAGTGTATGTGTGTGTCTAGCGAGGAGGGGCAGGGATAGGGTGGGATGTTTCTTATTGTATTACTATGAAAATGCGGAAACAATCAATTTTATTACTGGATAGCAAGAAAGAGAGAGAGTTTTTTTTTGCTTGTCTGCAATGCTGGTAATTTGCATGGAACAGTATGGTAACATAGTTATCAATAAACCCCTTCCCGGTATATATTTACATCTTCCGGTACAAATGAATAGTGTTTTTTTTTTTTTTTTTTTTTTATTAGATTCCATTCATTTTGGTATAAAAAAGCAAATCACACAAATCAATACCACCCCCACCCCACAAATTGATTAAATCAATATATAAAATTCATTAATTTTTTTTTTCCTTTTGTTTTATGTTCTTTTCATCGGCCACTACTCTGTTGAAAATTGTACTCAATCTGGCTGACCAAAAAGTGTTTTATTACATTTTGTGTTCTTGTCTTTTGATTAAGGTCAAGATCTAGTAAATGACAGGTGCCTACAGATTTACCAAATTTTAGAAATGAATTCCTTTATTGATGCTTTACAACTTTAGCTTGGTCAAATGTGGCGTTTCGGGGCATAATTTGTAGGTAAACTAGATGAAAAACTGTATTTTAAATTGTTATTTTCAATGAAAAATTAAGAAAACCAGTCATGAATATGGGAGTTTTTTTCATATTCGACAAAGAAAATGTATCCAGATTGCCTACAGTCTCACAGAAAACGGTAATTAGTATTTTCATGGCCTCTTCTTTAAACTAATATCAAATATAATATAGGTATCCGGTTTACTTTTCAAATGATTTCAAATTGAATGTCATGAAAATACCCTATTTTCTACATAATTCTGCTAAAGCCGTAAAGTACGGGAAAAAGAAAGTTGAAATTGATTATGACGTCATAATGGATCTAGCACCAAAAAATTAGTCCGAAGTTATTTACTAGATCTTGACCTTAATTTCGACGCAAAATGTAATAACGCAAAATGTAATAATCCAAAAATCGTGTTATTACATTTTGCGTTATTATATTTTGCGTTGATGTCGACGCAAAATGTAATAACGCGAAATGTAATAATCCTAAAAAGTGTGTTGTTACATTTTGCGTAATTACATTCTGCGTTGATTTCGACGCAAAATGTAATAACGCAAAAAGTAATATTCCAGGTTTATTACATTTCGCGTTGTAACATAGTCCCTGTCAAGGGTTTGATAAGATACAAAATTTATCGCTGGAAATCAAAATTGGCGGCAAAAATTGAATAAAAAATTTCCGATGGGTGGATAGCAAAAACGATACACCGGGGTATTGCTTTCTATGCATGGAAATTTTCAGACTTTTATAAATAGTTATTTTACCTTATTAACTTATATAGAAACATTTTAACAGTAGTATAATAAACAAAACTAGACAGGCAGAAAAACGGCAAGACAGAAAAACGGACAAATGAAATAGATTTTCAATTTTTATTACGGAGGCAGTAAAACAAATTGATAAACAATTAAGAAAAGCAAACCTATTTCACCCTTCGGCCTCAGGGTGTACGGAATAAAACCCGGGGTAAATCCCCGTGCACGCTTGATTGAACCTGGATAACTAATATTTTACCGCTTTTCAGATGTTGAAAAGTCCGATGAAGGAAACTTAACTTGCTTGTGAGTTGTCAAAAGAAATCAAAGAAAATGGGAAATGGGTGAGGAATGATCTTATGGAAGTCGATTCTGTTTCCTTTAAAGTGAGAGGTACATGTATTTATCTTTTTAATCTTTTAATTTGTTATGTTAAACTCGTATTTTATTAACATCCTTAAGTAAGAGGTTTAATGAATGATCTGTAAGCATCTTATCTTAGATCCGAAGAGTTTGGTTAACGAAGATGACTGTTTGATTGTATGTTGTTTAACGTCGTTCTCGAGAACGTTTTACTCATATGATGACTGTACCACTTGCCGGTGGAGAGCTGCAAATTTTGTCCTAAACTCGACAGTTTCGGCCATTGAGATATGACGGATCTCATTCGTGCCAGCACCTTCTGCGACACGCAGGACGATTTATACGGTCTTATCCGAAGGACCGGTCTCCATGTTCCGCAGTTGGATTCAAACTCGACGCTACTTCGTGACTCTTGAACAGACGCTTAAGAAGTTAATGTATGAGTTGTATTTATTTGGTAGTTACATGTAGCATTATGAAAAGACAAATTAGCATAAGATACATGTATCATAGAGTCACTTTTATAATTTATTGTCGAGAGCAACATGATTATCGTCTGACTCAAGAACTAAACTGTTTGCCTGAGAGTAACATATGAAATTGTTGTCGTCGCCATATGTGAGTATTTTTTTTTTAATTCTATGCCTGCCTTCGCGAATATAAAAACTGTGTCAACTGGAGGGAAAAATATAAAAAAAAAAAAATATAAAAAAAAAAAGCAAAAAAAAAAAAAAAAAAAAAAGGAATTGATCTCAAAGAGTCTTAAAAATAATACAAATCTGTGAAAAGTGCATCATCATGAGGCCCCGGAATATCTAGAGATGGGATCAGGTGCCCTGGACGAGTAAGCATTCACAAAAATGAGTTCTATGTGACAAATTCAAATTTAGATATTACATACCGGTACCTTTAAAAACTGCAAATGTGATTGATTGTTTAATTGAAAGTTGTTTGAAGTCCATTTCGAAATTTTTCACTCGTGTAAAGAGTTAACCATACACTTGTGATTGGCTTTAAATTTAGACCTTTTACTCCATACTCATAACTATTGAAAAGTGAGGGATTTTTACAATGCTGACGCCTTCCAGGACATGGAGCCTTGGTTTTTAAGATTTATCCAAAACATCAGCAACTTTCACTTTCAAGTGTCTAGCGCTTGGCGGAGGTACGTTTGCTACCTATTTTTTTTTTATCAAATAAGGCCAATGGCGTACGTTATTCGAACCCACGAACTTTCGATCATGGACTGGGCACTCTACCGACCTCTCCAGTTTGTTAATATATTATTTTGTCGGAGAGCTTCAGGTCTGCAGCGACAATGTACCTACAATGTAGTATCGTACATTAAGGAACACCGGTTCAACTTTGACAGTTAAGGTATCCGATCCATAATAGCCTCAGTAAATATTTTTTAATTGTTTTTCTATTCTTAATAATAATATGCATCTTTCCACCAATCATTTTTTTGATGTTCATAGTATTTGAATTTTTATTTTCAAAAATTTGCTTTTTCCCATAGACTTCAAGCATTCTTAATTATTTAATTACTATTCAAGAAATTATATTTTTGAAAATTTCTCCTGATAAATCCTTTTTTTAATCTTAACTGCTTTGAATTAGTTTCAGAGTATTTAATATAGGATGAATATTTAAGGTTAGAAAATTATGTCCTTTAATTGATCGAGTACCTTAATTCCATGTCATACAGAAACCTTGTCAAGATAATTCAGCTGGTGGTTAATTTGCTCATATCGCCTCATCCATTTTCAATTTTTTATTAACTAATTATCGTATTATTTTACCGGAGATTCATCAATAATATACTATAATAGTAAGTATTTCATAGTAAATGCATAATCTATAACAATGAAAAATTTAGTTCGATATCTTGTAAACAACACTTTCATAATGTAGCACTTATAATAGCATTCAAGTGAATGTTGTGTAAGCATTCTAAAATTTTGTTAGATACATCACAATTTTAACAAAGAGAAATTTTGAAGTTTAATTAAGTGTTGTAAAAAACACATTTATTTTCTACTTTTAAGTCATTTATTTGTATTTCAGTGGATCCAAAATTCATCTGCACTAATGAATCAACATTTTTCAACAGCAAAGTATATGAAGTTACCTGTAATATATATGATAAAGAGAATTACCTGTACAAAGGTATTATGGCAGAAAGGTCTTTTGGGAGAGAAGCTAGGAGAAGGAACCTATGCAAATTTAAAAATAGAATGCAAGGTAAGGGATTTCAATATTTTCCCTGAATAATATAGAAGGTAGACAATTATTAATCACATACCAAAGTTTTCCACATTTTTCCAAAAAGGATAATGTAATAATATAACATGTACCAATTAAAAAAAAATACAACGAATTATTTCGTTCAGACTGTTTTTGTTTTCAATGTAATTTAAAAAAAAATACAATGAAATAAAGATGAACACATGTCAGACGAAAAGACACATTTTATGATCAAACTATAAGCGACATTTTTTTTTATTCTACCCTTTTTCAGAAACTTAATTACTCTATGACCGAGACTACCCTAAAGGAAGACTTGGTGACCTTAGAAGACATTCGGAAACGTTATTATGTAATGTACAATAATGCAAAGAAGTTCCGAATCAATCTCCCGCAGGGTGAGCCCGATTTATGAAAAAAAAAATGTGTGTCACTCTAAATCATTTTTTTCTTTTATTTTTGTTACGGTCTTAAAAATGTTTATGATACATTCTTTTATACTATCCATTGTACAGTGTATTATTATTTATCTCCAACTATTTAATTTTCAGAATCAAAAATTGTCAATGATTCTAGTCTTGTTTGAGATATAAAATTGATAGATAATTGTATTTTGTTTGGTTTAAGTGTTGAGTATCCTCTGAAAAAATGTAATTACACAACACTATCGATGACATCTCACAATGTATACAATCTTTAACTGACTGTTAAAAAAAAAACTTGAATATGCTGCCGTTTGAAACTGTTAACGATCTTTAATACGCTGTAGTTTGAAACTTTTGACAAGCTTTAATTAGCTTTTACTTGATATTGTTAACAATCATTGATAGGCTGTCGTTTGATGCTGTTAACGAACCTTAATACCTTGCACTTTAATAGGCTTTCTCTGTACCTTAATTGTAAGATTTCTTAATGTATAAAATTGTTCCTATACAAACCATATTTCTTCTGACAAAAATATATTACTTTTTTTATGCCCCCGTAAACGAAGTTTCGGGGGCATATAGTTTTTGTCGTGTCTGTCTGTCTGTCTGTCTGTCTGTCTGTCTCTCTCTGTTTGTCTGTTTGTCCGCAAAAACTTTAACCTTGCCCATAACTTTTGATTTAGTGGAGCTATGACTTTCATATTTCATATGTGTATTCCTTGTGACAAGCACTTTCTTTGGGTACCACCAAATTTGACCTTTTGACCTTGACCTTAGAGTTTGACCCACTTTTACATGAAAATTTTAAAATTTTACTTTGGCCATTTCTTTTGAAAAGTAAACACCAGGACATTTATACTTCACATATGTAATGTTTGTTAAAAGACCTTTCACTGGATACCAACAACCTTGACACTTTGACCTTGACCTTGTACAGTTCCTTGCTTGTGAAAAAACTTTAACCTTGGCCATAACTTTTGAACTGTAAAGGATAGGACTTTCATACTTCATACTTGTAATTCTTGTGAAAAGACCCTCCATTGAATACCAAGAATTTTGACCCTTTGACCTTGACCTTTGAGATTGATCTACTTTTAAAAATACAACCTTGACCATAACTTTTAAAGAGTTAGGGCTAGTGCTTTCATACTTTACACATTTGATTCTTATGACAAGACCTTTCTTTGGATACCATCAAATTTGACCTTTTGACCTTGACCTTGGAGTTTGACCCACTTTTACATGAAAATTTTAAAATTTTACTTTGGCCATATCTTTTGAACAGTAGACACCAGGAAATTTATACTTCACATATATAATGTTTGTTAAAAGACCTTTCACTGGAAACCAACAACTTAGACCCTTTGACCTTGTAGATTTCCTTACTTGTGAAAAAACTTTAACCTTGGCTATAACTTTTGAACAGTAAGGGATAGGGCTTTCATATTTCATACATGTAATCCTTGTGAGAAGACACTTCATTGGATACCAAGAACTTTGACCCTTTGATCTTTACCTTTGAGATTTAACTACTTTAAAAAAGCAAATCTTGACCATAATTTTTAAAGAGTAAGGGCTAGTGCTTTCATACTCTACATATTTGATCCTTATGACAAGATCTTTCATTTGATAACAATAATTTTGACCCTTTGACCTTGAACTTGGAAATTGACCTACTTTTTAAGAAATTGAACGTTGGCCATAACTTTTGAACTTTTAGGGCTAGGGCTTTCATGCTCTACGTAAGTATTTTATGTGGCAAGACCTTTAATTTGATACCAATTACATTGACCTTTTGACCTTGACCTTGGAGATTTTTGTACTTATTAAAAAAAATTAACATTAGCTTACTTTCAAATTTCACAATTGTTTACCAATGAGAATACCCTACTTTTGGTATCAATTGATTAAATTTGCATTGTAGAAAAGCTTAGTCTTTGCTATGTTGCCATACGGGGGCATCAGTGTTTTACAAACACATCTTGTTTTACATTCTTTCTTTATCTTTCTGTCTAGAAGACGTCAGCGCTGCAGTGCACATCTGGGATTCTTCGTTGTTCTTCATTGCAATATTATACACCACCTTCTCAATAAGTGTTTGATAAATATATGGTTATCATAGCAAACGGTCCAGGGCTCACCTGAATAACTTTAACCATGCGGTTCTTCACCACATTTTCCCCTTTTTAAAACCTATTGAAACCCCATCCTTCCCCCGGGGTCATGAATTGACAGTTTAGGGTATTTACGTCCCCAGGATGCTACCAGTATCACTTATATGGCCCAAGGTTCTTGAGAAAAAGTTTTTTTTAGAAAAAGTTCTTTCCTGTAATTTGATGTAAAACTTAGATTTCTTATTGTGGCCCTACACTACCCTGTGGGTCATGAATTGAACAAAGTAGAATCTACACTTCCCAGAAAAGTTTATCATAAGTTCCAGGTCTCCTGGCCCATTGGTTCTTGAGAAGATGTTTTAAGATTTTTCTTATATTTTTCAATCTTTAACTTTGATTCCCCTTTTGTTTTAAAATTCCTTAAAATTTAGATGTACGACCAACGTAAAACTCGGATCGCCTATTATGGACCTCCCCTATGCCCCCAGTGGTCATAAATTGGGTTAGGGTTAGGGTTAGGGTTAAATTCACAAAAAAGTCTCAAACCAAGACTCAAAATGACAATTAAAATAATATTATGTGAGAAGCTACTATTTAACTATTTACTGCTTTCTAAAATGGACTTGAGTGTGAACAGTTCTCTAGATCAAATCTTTGTGATATACTATCATTTATATTTTTTTTAAATCTGAGATTACTTAAGATGGCTTTGTTAATATATTTTATTTCGAGAAATACAAGATATTTTAATTCTAAAGAAATAAGACGGTAAGCGAAACACTGATACGCTCGTATGACAATATAGCGAAGATGAAACATAATTACAAATAAAATATGCTGGTACACAAAGTAAGATCTCAAAAAAATACAAATGTGAACAAAAGAAAAAGCAAAGTCACACACCCCACGCTTCCCCAAAATTCGAAAAAATAAAGGAATCGGAATTTACTGTAACATTTGGACATCTACACATTGTGCCCCTAATACCTAAGTTGAAAAGTGCCGAAATTTCCAGAAAATAAAGGGACAGGAAATTCCTACAAGTAAGCACATCAGGCCTCAGGGTCAGAGGTTCTGGTGTTAGGGCGGGGCTCTATTAATTATATATTGAAAATGAATAAATTCTTTGAAAATCTTATTGTTTTCGGCTCCTAAGTATCAAAATGACTAACAAAGTGCAAAGTTATAATGAACCCCCTGAGTCGGGGGTTCTGGTGTTAGGCCGGGACTCTGTTGAAAATATAGTGAAATGCATGAATTCTTTGAAAATCTTCTCTGCTCCTATGTTTTAAAAAAAACTTTCCAAGAACATGGTTACCGGTATGTAGAATAAGGTTGCCTCGTCCAAAATTGTGAATTTTATGGCGACAGGGTCAGGGGTTCTGGTGTTAGGAAGGGCTCTATTGATTGTATATAATGAAAATGCATATATTCCATAAAAATCATATCTTCTGCTCTTAGGTATTAAACCATTGAACTATGATTGATTGATTGATTGTATATTGTTTTACGTCCCTCTCGAGAATTTTTCATTCATATGGAGACGCCACCACTTGCCGATGGAGGGCTACAAATTTTGTCCTATGCTCGGCACTCAGGGCCTTTGAGCAGTAAGGGATCTTTTTCGTGCCAGTACCTACTGCGACACGGGGCCTCGGTTTATACGGTCTCATCCGAAGGACCGGTCTCCACGTCCCGCAGTGGGATTCGAACCCGCGACGTAAGGATTGACTCCTATTGCACTATGAAGTTCATTGTTAAGATTAATTCTTTCTAGTTTGTGATTTTCAGGGCCCCTCGGTCAGGAGTTCTGGTGTTTGGGTGGGGCTCTAATGACACTATATAGTGAAAATGCACAAATTCCTTTAACATATTTTCCTTTCCTCCTGGATATTATGCCAATGATCTAAGTACATATTTATGGTGACGAAATGATTGGTTTCAGGGCCCCTGGGTCAAGGGTACGGGGGTATACTTAGTCTGAAATAAATTAATGCTTTGACATCTTCTCTTTTGTATTAATTAACCATTTATGATGAAATAACATTTATAATAAAATTTCCAAAATTTTGAAATATGTGGCCCCCAGGGTGAGTGGTTCCTGTGGGATGGGGGTACACAACTAATTATAAAGTGAAAATGCATTCACTCTTTGTTATTCTGATCTGCCTTATGGGTATTAAGTAACCAAAGTAAGCATGCAACAATTTTGTAAATGATTCTATGTCAACACTTGACAAAATATCAGTCAAATATAATACTTTTTTTATGCTGGGAGATTTGAATTTTGATTAAGCAGATGGTGACAAATGTAAACCTTTATTAGATATCTGTGATATATTTGATTTAGAAAAATGTTATAAAATGCAAAACATGTTTTACCAAGCAAGGCAATGCCTCTCAGATTGATGTTGTTTTAACGAATAATACCCAAATCATAGCAAATCATTGTAATTTTAGTTGTGGAATAAGTGATGTTCACAACATTATTGCAGTGCAGTTAAAAACGGAAACTATGTTAAAAACTCCCGAATACAGAAATTACAGAAGCGTCAAGAGCTTAAAAATGAATTTATATACGGAAGACTTAAGATCTATTGAAGAATCTTACTCTGGTGTTTTACAAGGTGACCCAAACACAGTTTTTAATAATTTTCCCAATGATCTTACTCGAGTAATCGACAAACACATTCCATTGAAAAAAAGAAAAATACTGGGAAAACCAGTTCCCTTTATGAATGAGGTTGAAAGGTAAATTTTTAAGAAACGACAACTGCATAATTCATATTCCTCCAACAAATCTAAGCAAAATTGGAAAAATTTTAGAAAACAAAGAAATTATGTAACAAAAGTTAAGCGTCAGTCTGTCAACCAATACTTCATTGAACGGTGTGCAGGTGGACCAAACAGTAAAGACTTTTGGCCAACTATAAAACCATTTTTGACCAACAAAGGTACAAATATCAGAAAAAATATTATTCTCTCAGAAAACGAAAGTCTTGTGTCTGATCAAGTTGAAGTATACAATATTTTAAACTTTTTTTGTAAATGTTGCGAAAAACATCGGAATAGATTGTGTTGATGTCAATATATAGTGAACACCCTAGCATTGTAAAAATCTGTGAGAGTATCAAAGATACGGATGCTGTTGAATCATTTTCATTTCACTCTGTAGACAATGACTTTGTGAGTAAATGCATTAACAAATTGGGCTTGAAAAAAGCTACTGGAGTTGATGGTATTTCGGCCAAAATTGTTATACTTGGCCATGAACATATATTGAACCCTGTGACAAATATTGTAAATTTTTGTTTTTCTAAAAATGTTTTTCCAGATCGTATGAAAATTGCGCAAGTGGCTCGCTTCACAAGAAGCAAAGTATTTTGGAAAAAGGAAACTATAGACCAGTTAGCATTTTAACTATTTTAAATATTTAAGATTTTTGAAAGGGTTATTCATAGTCAATTGTCTGATTTTTTCAATTGCCATTTTAATGATATGTTATCAGCTTTTAGACCAAGGTATGGCTGTCAGAATGTGTTGTTAAAGATTCTGGAGGATTGGAAGTATGCCCTTGATCATAAAAAAATATACAGCAGCAATTATGATGGATTTATCTAAAGCATTTGATTGTATTCCACATGATCTAGTTTTAGCAAAACTAAATGCATACGGTTTTACAAATGCAGCAACTAGTCTTATCTCAAGCTATTTGAGCAATCGAAAACTGTGTGTAAAGCTGGGGGAAGTTTGTAGTGATTTTTTAGAATTGTACAAAGGTGTTCCACAGGGTTCAGTACTTGGTCCTGTTATTTTTAATATTTTTATCAATGATATTTTTCATTTTGTGTCAGATTGTGATCTCTACAACTATGCCGATGACACTACTATCTCAAACTCAAGTGACGATATTACATCACTAAACAAGTAACAGCTTTTCAAAAAGCTTGCCTGACGTAATCAATCAATATCTGTGAGAGAAGTGATAAACCTTTTGAGCAATACTTTTTTGAGAACCTTGTAAAAATATTTAATTATTTAACTTGTAAAAGAACGATGTCTTTGCTGCATCAGTGGCGTAGCATCGATTTTGAAAGTGGGGGGGGGGGGCAGCCAGTGACAATTTTTTTTACTTACCTGAAAAAAGTTTTCAAGCAAAAAAAAAAATTCAGATTTCCTATAGTATAAGTAAGGTTAGGGAAAAAAAGGGGGCAGTCCCCCTCCCGTTGCTACGCCCCTGTGCATTCTGAAGAGTTGTTAGCAGAATGGTTAATGTATGTTGGTTTTCTGCCAATCGCAACTCCTCGGTCGCACTCCTCGGGCCTTATCTAGGGAAGGAGACCACAAATGTTTTGTAAATTTACACGCCATGACACCCCCTCCCCCTTTTCACAAACTTTGAAATAAAAGCATTTTTCTGTGGAATATGAAGTTACTTTTATTCAATGTAATGATGTTATCTAAAATATACTACTTCTAACTCCGTTTTTACTATGAACAGGAAATGTATAAATTTTTAACATCCGATGATGTCGATGCATTCGAGTTTGTTTTTTGACCTCTGACGAAAAGACCCAAGATGATGCGATTGACTTTTCTGCAAGTAGATTGATCTACCACTGGATCTAAATTTAAAACAACACCTTTTCTGAAATCTGTTGTCAAATTATTCATTGTGAACATTTTAGAGAATAACTAAATACATATGTTGTAGGAAAGCATTTTCTCCAATGAAGTAAACAGTAGTAGTTTGTGTTCATTGTTCTTGAAACGTGGGTACTATAATTTTTTGAGGATGAAATAGGTAAAACCAACATTTAGGCCTTTGTGGAAAAGAAATCCAAGATTTCGCACAGGTAATTTCTTTCCTCAAATCATCTGGAACCTGGTTGAACTGCGTCGATCGTGGTGATTGGACTAGTCCATTAAAATATAGAATAAACCAACGGAGGGGAAACAAATTAGAGAAATCATTTCATTTGTTTTGCATGTCCATATTCTGATACATACGATTCTTATGTTGTTTTAAGGAATAATATATAAGTTGTAGATAGAATTTCTGAAACATAGGAAGATGGAGGTTACAATAACAAACTTTATTTAATTCCATGGAAGTTAGCACCCCCATTCATACAATAGAACAATCCCAAGAAAAGGCGCGAAG